ATCTTGAGCAAAATGAACCAGAGAGTATAATATATAATTTAAGTTTATTTTCACCTGAGCCCTTGCTCCATCTTTCTTAACAGAAGCAGTACATACAATAAGTAATAATACTTGTCAAAAGTAAATATGGATTACAGGGTTCGAAATACCCCATATATTAGTGTGCCATGGCACGGTAAATACAGAGGTGGCACGGCTAAAAAATGTTCTCGGTGCCCTTTTGACACGCCTAATTTTTTAAGAGACATAACTCACATTTAGTCATTTTATCCCTAAAACAATTTTTTTTTTTAAATTGAATAATACCATACATATCTGAATGCTCATAAACCCATTACTTTATTTAACAATTAATTTCAAATGATCATCATCATTGTCATTTATTCTAAAAACATGAGGGCATGATACTTGATTTCAGAAAGGCACACCTAAAATATTTGTCTGGTGCCCTAAGGCACACTTAGAAAAAAAAGTATTTCTATCCCTGGATTAACCTAAACATCCACAGAAGTTGAGGTTTGACTCTAGTCTGCAAAAAAAGGCAAATATGGCCTAGTCTGTTTGAATTTAGTCATAAATTCCCAAAATAGCTCTTTGCCTAATTTGCCTCCAAAGTCTGGAATCCTAATTGATCCCTGTTTGAACGAAAAATGCCTAAGATACACAGTATTCAGGATACTTCATGAAATCAGGGACCAGCTCCGACGTTTATATTTCAATAGGAGCAGTGGGGTAGTCTAGTGGTTAAAGCGTTTGTTTGTCACGCCGATGCACTGTTCGATTCCCCAGACGGGTACAATGTGTGAAGCCCTTTACTGGTGTCCCCCGCCGTGATATTGCTGGAACATTGCTAAAAGCGGCGTAAAACCATACTCACTCATTCACTCATATTTCAATAACATCACTCTATATCGTACAAAGGATCTTCTACTGTAACCCTTCCACAATAATTAAACAACTGCCAATACTTACTGGATACAACCGGACTGATCCGGCTTCCTCGACCCTTCCCAGCATTCAGCTGGAGTGGGATACTGCAAATGAAACAGACAGATGTCAATATGAGTAAATCACTGATGAATACAGATGCTCTTACTGTCTTAGAGAATTGATCTTGCAAAATTGCATCATTCAACTCCATGTGTTGTGATAGAGTATTACGTACTGGATGACAAGAAGCAAGTGTCCATCCATTGTTCTTCTAACTCCACATGAATATGTACAAATAATGAGGAAAACAGAATTTCTTTGATGATATCCCATGGAAGTAAATGGGAACCTCAAGTGATATCCCAAGGAACTAAACATAATCCATGGCTCCACAGCCTCCACTTTGCAAGTGAATAGGTCGCACTTGCGAGTTAAGTTTGAGAAATGCAACAAAATAATATGAAACACTTAGACTTAGGCGAGTGAGTTAAAACTTAAATTAAATCAACTCATTGAACACCGCATTCCGGAAAAACGGCCAACACGTCACAGTGCCTGAAAACTCTTATTTCAAATGGTCAAATAATATCATCAGAATTAAAATCATAAACTAATTATTCACAATGTTATTGGAAAAAAACAGAGTCTCCAACACATACTTCAGCAACGGATTCACATCAAAGTCGTCAAAGAACAAATTAACAAAGTTTTGGGGAAATAATTAAACAAATTGCATAAACTAATGAATAAAATCAACAACATTACACACAAAAGTTGTCAAACGTCCATTACAAGTTACAAGTGCCATCTGTTTTGTAATCTAAGTCAAGTGACATCTCGGCTTTCGTTGCCTCGTGCATGATTTTGACCAATCACAAGCCTTATAGCAGACTGTGGCAAATAAGTGTCAGTTGAAACCAATCTTTATCCAATAAAATCGTTTCTTACAACTGTGAAAATACTCTTGGCAAGGGTACCTACAGTCGGAAGCATATTTGTAACCAAAACTTTCAGCTTGACACACAAAGCATGCAACATGCTATATTCCAGCTACATGTATATGGCACTGGTCTGTAAATAATTGAGTCTGGACTGGACAATCAAGTGATCAACAACATGGGTATCAATCTATGCAATTGAGATACGATGACATGTGTCAACAAAGTCAACAAGCCTGACCACCCAACCGTTGGTTGCCTCTTACAACAAGCGTGGGTTGCTGAAGACCAATTCTAACCTGGATCATCACAGGCCAAAGCATGCGACAATTTAATATTACATCCAGCAGCAAAACCAGTAAAAACCCTGTTTACTATTGCATATGTGTTTCCGATGAACGATGAACTATGAAAATAAAATGAATGCAGACCTTGACATTTAATAACACCTTAAAAACATCCACAACAATCTCATGTCGTTGTGTATTCAATATTTTGATTTCCATAATCACATTTGTTTTCGGCGAGACAGAAACCAGACATGCTCACGAACACCAAGAATTTTGTAGCCTTGATTGTCCTCAGATCGTATATACAGACAGGTATCATATTGGAGTAACAAACTGTTGACCAGTGGAAATTCCAGGCAGAAATTACAGTCTGTTTGATTTCATTTGAGACTGATGAATTGCTCACTAACACAAAATCTAATAATTGCAACAAAACCAAATTTTGCAGTCACATGAAATCAACAGACCAACTGATGATTTGTCTCATAATTTTGGACACCCGAATAAAAAAGTTGTTTAAACGATCATTATTTTGTTGTCACTTTTCGCTATTTCTTACGAGGGGGGACCACTTGCTGGTAGAATAGCCAGGTAATCAACAAGAGTGTGCAGTGAAATTTCAATTTCACACGTACAACTCGCACACCTGCTTCTGTGTCATCAAATTAACTTATGCTACTAACATACTAGTCATCCTTTAAAGATATGAATTTGGGAAAAAAAAGCCAAACAACTACATATTTTTTCTTTATTTTTGTGTGCCTAAACAACCGTAACAGGAAAATCTGATAAATGAAGCTAACCAATTATTTTCGATGACTGATCAGTTGTAATGAACCAATCATCAGTCGTGAGATTTTAACTGATTCCCAACTTTAGTAGAAATGCAGGTCACAACAGGGCTTCAGATAACGGACATATCGGCGTATGTACGGATAAAAAATATGCAAGATATGCTAGGAAAAAATTTAGAAAACGTAGCAGATACGCACCACATCAATGGTGTACGGTCTTAGAATCATTTACAGACATATTTATCTGAAAAAGTTCTGTTTCATTGTTTATTGACCTGTTTACACAGGACTAGCAATATTGCGGTGCATATATGAAATGAAACACAAGATCACTGATACTCCATTAAATTCCATTCAATGCTCTAAATGTACTCTTAAGTTTTTCCAGTACTCCTCTATTGAAAAAATAGGGAGTACATACTCCTGATGTTGAAAAATTATCTGCAGCCCTGTCACAAGCAATCAATTGCTGGTTATAAAAAGCAACTAAATAGATCAGGAGGTTAATGTGGTGTCTTGGTTGAATAAATGTCATTGTATCCCCGTTTGATGTTCATAATGTCAATCACTGGATTGTCTTTTCCAGACCAGAATATTTACAGACACCATCACAAAGCTGGATTACTGCAGAATTATGCAACAACAAAAAAAATCAAACCGATGAGAGTGATGGAAGATTCACTAAATTCATCAACGAGCAAACTCTACGGACAGTACACCACCAAGAACAAAACATTCAAGAGGAACTTACACAAAAAGAGACCTCTCGTACAGTTGCATTGTCTCCTTACATGACAAGTACTGATTTCATCTCGATGTCCTCCCCTCTATGGGAGAGAAGTATCGCAACATTCCCTCAAGGTCAGCATCAACCGTGCATCACAACAACTCGTCCACAACACAGCCATTACAAAGACCATGTGTAAGCAAGTCCAAATATGAAAATCGCCATCCGTCTCAAAATGCAGCTTGGTAGAGTGACGTGAGAATGAGATACTTGAGCGACAGTGAGCATGTAATCAGGGTAATCACAACCCCTGTGCCAGCCGACGGAATTCAGTTTGATGAGGCCATGCTCTTGTATTGATCGGCTCTCTGATCACACTCTGACACTGCCCATGCCTACAGTCTGCGACTGTCAGAGGGGAATTGTGCACTGCCAGCGTTTCCTTACATATGAATGAGGAATACAAAACACTGTCTGGAAAAGATGGGTAATTACTCCACAGCACTGACGGCAAGACCTTAGATAAAGCTGTCTCTATAGGAACAGTATTCATGAATATGTTCTTGAAGACCGCACTGAGACGTGAGTGTTGAATAAAGTCTGTCTGTGCATATTTTTCAGAGACTAGGAACAGATCTTACACAGAACTCCAATATAAGGAGCAAATCACGACAATAGATAAATTCCCCTATAAATATAACACACAACATGCCTAACAGATATCACGTCCCTATATGTAGAACAGATAACAGGTCCTCCTACAACATGTGTAGGTTCTCCAGGGCTTCCTACAGTATCTTACGAGGCTTCCTACAGATACAGGGCTTCCTACAGCATCTTACAGGGCTTCCTACAGCATCTTACAGGGCTTCCTACACCATCTTACATATAGCTTCTTACAGGACTTCCTACACCATCTTACAGGGCTTCCTACACCATCTTACAGGACTTCCTACACCATCTTACAGGGCTTCCTACACCATCTTACAGGGCTTCCTACACCATCTTACATATAGCTTCTTACAGGGCTTCCTACACCATCTTACAGGGCTTCCTACACCATCTTACATATAGCATCTTACAGGACTTCCTACACCATCTTACAGGACTTCCTACAGCATCTTACATATGGCATCTTACAGGACTTCCTACAGCATCTTAAAGGACTTCCTACAACATCTTACGTGGCTCCCTACACCATCTTACATATAGCATCTTACAGGGCTTCCTACAGCATCTTACAGGACTTCCTACAGCATCTTACAGGACTTCCTACAGCATCTTACAGGGCTTCCTACACCATCTTACATATAGCATCTTACAGGACTTCCTACAGCATCTTAAAGGGCTTCCTACAGCATCTTACAGGGCTTCCTACAGCATCTTACAGGGCTTCCTACAGCATCTTACATATAGCATCTTACAGGACTTCCTACAGCATCTTACAGGGCTTCATACAGCATCTTACAGGACTTCCTACACCATCCTACAGGGCTTCCTACAGCATCTTACATATAGCATCTTACAGGGCTTCCTACAGCATCTTACAGGACTTCCTACACCATCTTACATATACTACAGGACTTCCTACAGCATCTTACAGGGATTCCTACAGCATCTTACATATAGCAATATTAGCATCTTACAGGACTTCCTACAGCATCTTACAGGGATTCCTACAGCATCTTACAGGACTTCCTACAACATTTTACAGGGCTTCCTACAGCATCTTACAGGACTTCCTACAACATCTTACAGGGCTTCCTACAGCATCTTACATATAGCATCTTACAGGACTTCCTACAGCATCTTACATGGCTTCCTACACCATCTTACAGGGCTTCCTACACCATCTCACAGGGCTTCCTTCAGCATAGTACAGGGCTTTCCTACTGCATAGTACTGGGCTTCCTACTGCACTAGGCTTCCTACAGCACCTTACAGGTGCTTCCTACTGCATAATACAGGGCTTCCTACAACATAGTACAGGGCTTCCTACTGCACAGTACAGGGGCTTCCTACAACATAGTACAGGGCTTCCTACTGCATAGTACAGGGCTTCCTACTGCATAGTACAGGGCTTCCTAGAGGATCTCATACATGCTCCGCCAGTATCCTCCAGGACTTCCTAAACTGTTTTACAGAGTATCATACAGCACATGTTTTCAACATGAGCTCGAAGATACCTGAACCGTGTGTGCCCCTATCTGGGATATCCTCATGCCTCTATTCTACAGACCATATCTATAAATAAATAGTGATTTTGGTTTTACATCGCTTTCTGGTGAGGTGAGGTGAGGTGAGGTGAAATTGGGTTTAATGTCATGCTTGAGAATATTTTGCTCATATGACGACGTGCATGCGTGTCTATGTGTATGTGCGTCTGCTTGTACTAGCCCAGACTGGTTTATAGTGCTAGCCCACTGAGATACCATGCCGCAGTGAAGCATGAATACCCCACTCAGACACATTATACTCCGAGCCGACCAGTCCTTGTTGTACCCATTTATGCCGAACGCCAGGCAGGGACAAACAAGTACCATATTTTAACATCTTTTGGTATGACGCAGTCGGGATCGAACCCGCGACCTTCCACTCTCCGGGCGGTCACTCTAACCACTACACCACGGAGGCGGTCACCGCTTTCAGCGATATTCCAGCAATTAATCAAACTATCTATATCTACTAGGACACTGAACTGGTCTACAACAAGAATACACAATGCCATTAAGAAAGTGGTCAAATGTAACAAACCGGTATGTAACAGGGGCACATTATTGGCGAGCTGGCTAAGGCGCCAGGCTAGTGATCCAGCGAGCTTAAGGTGACGGGATCGAGCCCACCTGTGACCAGGTGTTAAAACCTTGGAGTCAACTTTGAGTGCAGACTCTCAGTGTTGTTACAACCCCTAGTGTACAGTACACAACCCTGTGCACTTAAAAGGACCCATGAATCCGTTGGTATATGACCAAATGGTGGCCACATGAATACGTACAAACACCTAGTTGCGGGTACAGCAGCGTGCAGTAAACTTGGACAAAATACTGTGACTATGTGTCCCAGTCCACCCAGCTGTGAATGGGTACCTCGTGAGGATGGGAAAGCCACATTAACTCGGTGCGCCTAGTGGCTGCAAGAGTTGTATGATCCCCAGGGAGTTGAGATTGATAATACATTGTGCCGTTTGAGACTGACATCCAATGATCGAGGGAAAAACGAAGTGCCTTTGAGCAGGTGATCTGGATACTGGCACTATATACAGTGGAAACCTGATAAGTAAAATTTCAAGGGACTCGCCAAAATTGTTTACTTATCAGGTATTTTACTTATAGTGCAAACTTATAAAAACCTGCAAATGACAACCGTATGCATGTATATGTATCAGGGTTTTACATAGCTCCTCGAAACTGGGAGTCCTGGGGACTCAGGGCATATGTATTCTGAGAGTCCATTTCCAAAATTGGGAGTCCATCAATTTGCTTGCAATAATTGATCATGGATGCTTCCCATTTGATAATGATTAGGTTATAATATGTGTTACTTTCAATGTCATTAGAATAATGATTGTAAACAGAATGTTTATATTTTAATATGGGATATCATGACAAACTCAGAATGTTCTTCCCAGAAAAAAATTATATTGCGTCCACAAGGACGCACAGGATTTTAGTTTGGGGGTACTTCATCAAATTTCTGCGTCCAATACGCAGGAATCACGCGTCCCGTAAAACCCTGTATGTATGCATATGTAACAATGAACTGTTGAGTCCCATCCGGGATTCGAACCCACACCCTCAGAGTCAGGCACCTAATCGCCAGCACACAAAGTCAGACACCTAGACCGCTCAGCCACCGCGGCTTCCACAAAAATGGAAGTCGGACAACTGTTAGTCTAGGCTGCGGACTTTGTGTACCCGTCTGATAAGTGTCAATTGGCACGTGCCAGGCATCTGACATTGTGTGCTGGCGATTAGGTGCCTGACTCTGAGGGTGTGGGTTCAAATCCCAGATGGGACTCAACCCAAAAAGTACTAGAATCTGTACTTTACTAAGAAAGTGTAATCCCAAATATAACATATGTTACAGCCAAAGAAGTGATTTCAAATCCCCACTTAGGTAAACGTTTTGATGCATATTTTAGGCTCAGATCACATAAAACCCTATTCAGTGTTCAAAATATGCATGTAAGTCAAGGGGTTCTTGTCGTAACTTATTGAAGTAAAGATTTAGAGGTCCCCAAATTCAACTACCATAGAAGACGTTCGGGACTCCAGGAGTCTTCTGAACTTATGAACAGTGCCATTGAAGATGTCTATAAGTTTTTGTGTGCAACTGTTGTGTATCTGAAATCTTTAAAGATAGTTGAGTCAATCCAGCACAATGTTCAGAGGTGCAGTTTAAACTCCGCTTCGTCATGTCAGTCATGTCCCCTGTCGTGATATTGCTGAAATATTGCTAAAAGCAGCATAAAAACTAAACTCACTCACTCACAACAATATAAATACTTATTTTTATACTCACTTATTGGAAGCAGAAGGCATGAACTGTGAATGTGCCGACATTCCTATAGGGATGCTATTATGATACATCATGGACATGGATGTAGACGGCACAAACCCAGAGGTTGATGGAGCCATGATGCTCGGTGCAAGACTGGACGATGCCACATTGTTGTACCTGCTCCGCGTGAGAGGGCCCTGAAATAACGGACCGCTAGTGGAAGATACCGAAGGAGCTGGAGGTAGCAAGTTGAACATACTGTTCCCATGGTTACCAGTACTGGCGCTGGAACTAGCGACTGAGTTGCTGTTCATTGTATGTTGAAGAGCTCTATTGCTTGGAGGAAGTAATCCATGAATCATTGCATTGGAACCAGAAGGCATCATGTATTGATGTCCCATAGAGATGGATGGATTTGGAATGTTTAAACTAGCACTAGCACTACTTGTCTGTGTTTTACTGCTGGATCCATGGTAACGACTTCTACGTTTTTTCCTTGATGATCGTAGGTGACGCATGCTTCCATTCGGAAGCCCACCATCTGAATCTGAATCCGAACTACTGGATGCTGTTCTCTTGCTTGCACCTGATGACATGGAGGTAGATGAAGAGGAGCTTAAAAGCTGCGGAGGAGGCAACACCAAATTTTGTGCCTTTCCAGTGTCTAAAGGATATGGTACACTTAGAATCTGCCGTCTTATTCCACGTATTGTTCCAGTTTCAATTCTCACTTGCTGCATAGCACTAAGATTGATATAATAAGGCAGCTGAAGAATGGTAGCACTCAGGTCGAGGATTTTCTGTCCTCGGCTGTAGTAGTCTTCAATAACACCAGCTACATCAAAGTCATAAGTGTTCCAACTACCTGGCGTGTCACCTGACCACTGCCATGCAATCTGATTAGCTGAATGGCTAACTTGGGGATAGATCTTCCTCCTCACTGGACGTTGTTGTACCTACAAAATAAGAGAAGGAAACATATTTGAGGAAGTGCCATGATGACTAATATGTGTGTCAGGCTAGGCATGAAAGTGTTTTCATTAAGGTCACACAACTCAACACTCTCTTCCCACAGAGGTTACTTGTCATGTCTTCCTATGAACCTCTGTTCTAATACGGCCATATTTCCTGGTTCTCGGAAAATCCCCTAGCGGCAAAAAATCGCAACACAAATTATCTCCCTTCTTTCTATCCAATCAGAACACGTGTTACATCGACTTAGATCCAACTTCACTTATACAAGCAAATATGGGGCCACAAATATCCCTCCTCTGCCGGGGAACTTTGATGTGACACACATGACATATAATGGCTACCTTGTCCGTTGTCAACGAGGGTGATGGAGAAGCCATTGATCCGCCATTACATGACTGAGTTCTGTCTAGAAGAAACGTTTGGGCATCGTGCATGGGAAGACGTTCTAGTTTTCCCAAAGCATACAGAAATTACTGAGGCCTTGCGAATGATCATTTTTGAAACAACGTCACTGATTGCACAACTAAATCTGATTGCAACCAATCACAAATCCTGAACACTCGTACCATGAAAGGGACGTATTAGAACAGAAGTTTGTAGGAAGATATGACAAGTAACCTCTGTGGGAAGAGAATGACAACTCAAATGGAAATCAGGAAATGCCAAGGAAACCCTTAATATCGAATATTGAGTGCTGAGAAAACAATTATCTATGATACTATGAAGGATCATCAACCACACGACTTTTCTGCCATAAGCCGATTATAGTAATTCTAGTACAAATATACTCAATTTAACTCATTAAGCCAAATAGTCACTAACTGGGTGAGTCCATTACGGCAAAGGGTACATAATTAGGATGTGTATTTCTACAGTAGTCAAGTTGGGATGTTGTCATACTGGGACGTAGTCATAATGTGATAGAACCTTTAGTTGTATCAACCATTACCTCTGTAATCGCAATCACAATACAAGACGAAATTGCTGAGTTGTCATGGTAAGGGTTCAGATGTGGATGCCAAGTCAGAAAAAGACTACTGGTAAAGTGTAACATCATAAATATCATATAGTAGGAATATATACTTACATTCTTAAACATATCATTTAGGATACCAGAAAACAGGAGGGTAATAGGGGTGAAACGGTATACCGTGGTATTAGCAGAACCACAGTATTTTGCCTTCAGTTCGGTATACCATAATGCAAAAAAAAAAAGAATTTTGTTTTTCATACCGTTATTTCTATCTAGTCATAAAATGACAGTTTTGTTCATTCACAAGAACAAAGATTATGGTTATTTTTTTCAGGTTTAATACACAATGTAAGGTTTGGCTCTTGTTGTCAATTTTCTGCATTATGATCATATTTCATACCCAGAACCGAACCGAACCAAACCAAATCGAACTGAACTGAACGGAAGGCCTTGTATCGCAATAAGTAACGTACCGTGGTAAGAGCGTACCATTTCACCCCTAGAGGGTAATGATTTCGTTATCATATAATGTCACTTATAAATTAATGGATGTTTAAGACATAATTTTTTAAATTTGTAACACACATTTGAATAAAATCTTTCAGATAACCAACCAGTTTCAAATGACTTAAAGCTACGTATTAAGCACAGTGGGAATGTAAGTCTTCAGTCTTTAGAGAAATTAGTTAATGCCAAACTTCCTTTGCAGACATATCAGATCATGATCTGGTTTTGTTGCACCAATCACACTAGTCATCATATAATAAATTTCCATTGACATATGGTTGTGGACAATTTCAAAGCGGTTAGAAACTTGGATACGAAATATATGACTACTATTCCATAAATATATAGCTGTGATCAGCATGGCAGGTATCACTTCCATCAATATTATCATCATTGGTTCAGGTGATACAACCATTAACTTTCTTTGAGACTGAAACATACTTCACGCATTGTACCATGTGGGGAATCAAATCCGAGGCTTCAGTATGACAAGTGAACACTTTAACTTCTAGGCTACTGAACATGTATAGACATGAAGGTATAATGGACATGGAAATACACATGTACATCTTATAGCACTTATTGTACTTACATATTAAATACAATGCTTAAGTACATTTATGCCGCTACCATGATTTACTACACATGTTGTTATTTCTCAGTGTCTAACAAACATGTCAAAGGACCAGTGTTAGAGACATGGGTCCCAATCCACAATGAGTTTGAAGCGCTATGACATTCATATGGTGAATTGTAGACAGGTCGTAATGTTAAGAAAGCTTTGTGGATCAGGACCACAATCTCTTCTTTTGAGTGAGTGAGTTTAGTTTTACGCCGCTTTTAGCAATATTCCAGTCAAGACTCTAAGGTAAAAAATAATTGCTTAAATGATAATTTCTAAATAAATGATATGAATACCAGACTGGCATCCTTAGTGTACTGTCCACTTGTCTTGACTTGCCTCTTTAAAGGATAGAATTACTATACATCCATGGGCTTAGCATTCAGTACAGCCTTGGAGCAAGGCTATAAATAGAACAGCTTGTGCAGTTACTGGCTGATTGTGTGTTATTAATCTTACTAGTTTACTTTGAAAAGTATGGATCACAATGCAGTCCACAATACATGTTAAACACGTGAAACAGTCCATATTAATACTTTTGGAAAAAACATTTGATTTTTAAGGTTGGCTGCATTTGCTTTTCATGGCTTTTGTCTTTTCAATCTACATGCTGTTTACTGTCCATAAAATTTAAATTCAATGAGCTGTTGTTAACTGTCCAAGGAACTGCTTCCATGTGTTCAGTCATCATGAACTTCATGAGAGCATAGATTATATACAGTGTAATTCTTGGGCCAATTCTTGTTGGGCGAATATCAACAACACCATTTACATGAACTTAGCACTGTACACAACACACACCGAACACTCTTGCAGTGGAGACTCACAGCTGACACATTTGACTATGTTCTACAAGTGAAGTAGCTGGCACAAAAGGTCCTTATGCTGACGTATGCAAAACAATATCAACTTGACTGAGGTTCGTTCTGATCTACTATCACGATGACTAGACATTCTATTTTCGGTTTAAGTTTGAGGTTTGATATCTGCATGGGGTTGTTTCGTGATGGATATCATAGCACATTATTGTCAGATAATAAACACTTTAATCCGTAAGTAACGTTTCAACACTTTCGGTTAATTTATGTTGGGTCACACACCTGATCCTTGACGAATTTGACACATGTTTGTAAAATCAACAATGTACATGCACAACGACTGGTTGACTGCCCCCAGATACACTTGTGGTGCTTTGCCATATTGGCCTTCAATCTGACAAGTCACGGGTGAATCATAAGGCCTCCATCGACCATATTCACTCAACCATTCCCATACAACAAATCCAGCTTTCGGAATCACACTTCCAGGTGTAGCCATATTTGTTTCTTTTTCGATAATAGCATATTCTTATAACATATATTTTAACCAATATGTTATCAATTTCCAAAGTTTTTATGCGTGTTCAAATGAAGTTTATGTATATAAAATATGTTTTACAATCCAAAATTTTTACTAATTGATAAATATATTGTACACTGACACCGGGTGTGTTGCATATTGCTTAAAACAACGCTGTATCTTATAATTAGTTGCTCCACAAATACTATTTAAGGAAACTACGCGCTGACGTGATTTAAGCATTCATATTCGCTATTAGCATTCATATTTACTGTCTTGTATTACAATATGTTGTATATTCCTAAAGGATTCTCGTTGATTTGTTTATTTAGAAATAAGCCATATATTACGTTTCTGTTTTTATTTCCCGGCATGCTCTAACATTCCTGTCGTCGCGAAGGTAATGGCTGTCTGAGGATGTGTTGTTAAGGGAAGACTTAATGGCGAAAAACGTGCGCAACATCTAAAGTACGGCATTGTTTCAGAATGACAAATTTTGTAATTGTTAAATAATGACAAATGCATCCAGTTGTTGTCATTTACATGAGGATAATCCAGACTTAATCAAGAAATTTCCTTTTAAAGTAAGTCATACTTGTCCTACGTTCTCAACTCAATTCAGCGTTATGTTGCAGATTCCTTCAACCACCATCATAAAGATATTGATTGTTGGATTGTCTTTGATGTTTTTTTATATAGAAAACTATCATTTCAGATGATCACCAGCTGTCATGTATCCATATCATGCGCAAAGCAATTTACCAGTGTTCGTGGTATAAAGTTACGTTAACACGAAAATAATGGAAAAATTGATGTCAACAATGCAAACTCTCCCCTACTTCCCGTACTACACGAGAATGATTTGAAGTAGTAACATCTAGTAGGATGATGGTTAAATTTATTACAAATCGTTCAGCCAGTATCAGAGTTTGTATTTCTTTATTTCCAAAATAGAGACATGTTTATGATTTTATCACTTTTGATATTCTCCAATTCTCTCTTATAGTTATACCATTACAATATTGTTAGTATCATCTAACTGACGTTTGATTTCTCAAGGTAGGTAGTTTAATCAACTTAGTTTTTGGGCATACATGACTTTAATCAATATTTAATATGTGGTTTTGGTTTCCTTATCATCAATGTTATAGTCTGATTCTATGCTAGTGCTCTGGCAGTGCATTCTTGAGTGACATTAATCTATGAGTCCACTTGCTACTTTGTTTCCTTTGTGTAGATAAACATTTGCAAAGTTAAGATCAGAGCTACTGATAACGTTTTGGGTCATTGTACACGCTTGTGTTCTTCTCAATTGGGTATCCTTATTTTCCTTTGAGTAACCAAATAAACTGTACCCACCTCATTCAAACTCACTTGGGTATTTTTTTTTATTCCATTAATTGTAGAAAGATAATAAAGTTTAAATGTTGGTTACGTGTTTGTTTTTTATATTTGATCGGTAATAAGAGAAACAATAAGGAAGACTGCAACTTACCAAGTTCATGTGCTGACATAGAAGCTCTCAATATACCTCAGTTACTTGATCTATCCTCAGTAACCTCCAAGCTAAAGTTTTACATTTTTGTGTGTATGTATATAAAATCAAATTTATTGAGTATTTGAAAAATTCAAGCATACTTTTACATAACAGACATAATAGAAATTGGGTTTTCACATAAATATTTGTGTAATTTACCCAGATATGCAGAGTATCTGTACCTCTGTAAGATGCAGGCTAAATCCAACTCCTTCATTACTGTCAAAGTAGCTGACTATTTCTTGATCTGTGCATAAAAAAGGGATAAAGAATGAGCTGTTTTATATTGTAGACTGAGTAAACAGCTCCCTTGAAGGATGGCTACACAGGCAGCGGTCCACCAGCGGAACCTGGAGAGTTCCATCCTGTTCATGCAGCAGGAACATGCCACAACACTCAAATGTCTTCATGAAGAAATACACAATCTACAGAAAAAGTGCTCAGGTGAGACACCATGTACAAGCAGTCCAAATGAAGAACGAACATCAGTGAGCAACACAACTTTGGAATACATCTCACTTGAAATGGAGGGCAGTAGGGTAGCCTAGTGGTTAAAGCATTTGATCATCACTCCAAAGATCCGAGTTCTATTCCTCACATGGGTACAATGTGTGAAACCCATTTCTGGTGTCGTTTGCCATGATATTGCTGGAATATTGCTAAAAGCCACACAGAACTAAGCTTAGTTGGTCACTGAAAATGGAAATATCCACACAAATCCGATAAAGTTGCATTGTAATGATAAGAACCAGGTACTTTTACAATGGAGACCAAAATAAAAGTTTACTATGTTTGGCTTCTTTGAGCAGTTGTATATTCATATACAAATTTGGTCCGAAGTGCAAATCTTTAGACAGAAAAGTTTTGACAGTACTATTCTTGTTCTAGTTGATATCAGTGAATCCAGGACAAAAAGTTTCTCTTCATCCTCAAAACTTCTCAGATTTGTATATCCTACATTCTTATGATACCCATAAATAGCCGAGATGTGATGTAATTGCCTGAGTCCTTTTTTTAGTTATTTTTTTAAATGAGGCTGTGTATTTTTTATGATCAAAAGAGTCCTATTGAATTTTGTGTGAACATATCTATTTCTTAAAATTTCACTTTATTCATTTATTATCTACATTTGTGCAGTGTAAAATTGTCAGAATACTATATGTTTTCCTTCTTGAAAAGACTCGTGAAGATCCAGGTTAGAATTAGTCTTTAGCAACCCATGAATGTGGTAAGAGGTGACTAATGGGATTGGGTGGTCAGACTCGCTGACTTGGTTGACATGTTATCATATCCCATTTGCGTGAATCAATGTTCATACTTTTGATCACTGGATTGTCTGGTCCAGGCTCAATTATTTACAGACTGCCGCCATATAGCTGGAATATTGCTGAGTGTGGCGTAAAACAGTAACAAAACCAATACCAAAACCCTCTGAAAAAATGGGACTATGGCTTGATTGTTGGATAAATTTTACAACAACACAAAGCCCTAGTTTAATGGTGGAAAGTGCATAAGAACGTGAGAAGCAGTGTTGGATAGTGTATCAGGGGTGGAAATAACTTTAAGATTGCTAGTGTACTCTGGTACAGTATCACATGTAAAATCACTTGCCCTGATAAGATTTCCACTGTACCGGCTGTTTTCTTGTTGATTTTTTAAATAAACAACATTATTAACATTGGAAAGTCAACTGGACACCGGTACAGTGTGATATACAAATTTGCTTGCCCGACAGAAAAAAACACTGGACTCGGACGTCGGGCAATGGGTTATTTCCACCCCTGTGTATATGTACTTGTGAAGTATTGGCCATGAGGTCTTGAGTACCCAGCACTTGGCATAAGAGCGAATGTGCTGGGTGGTTATCCTGTGTGACCTAGGTAATTATGCACTATTGTGCCAAACAGAGTGGGTGGATGCTCATGCTTTCAGCCATTGGTTTGTCTTGCCTAGACTGTGCAGGCTGCCATGATCATTGTGATATAGCTGTAATTTTGGTGGCTGTAGCACTGACTCACTCATTCCAAATGCAAAGCTATTGTCAGAATAGGTTTCTGATTCTAAATGCTTTGAACTTTGATTGGCACATTCACTGATGCCATACGGTTTAGGATTTCAATTTAAGTGACCTTAGCAGGCACGCTTGAGCACAAATAATTTTTGTGTGCAAATTTTGTTTATTTTAAAAAATACTTTAAACTTAACTAGATACTGCTTGAATACATTGACACATCTCCCTCTGTGTTGTTTCTTGGTGGTCGGGTAGGCTTATAATTGAAGGGTTCCACCATAAAGCCAAAGGCCAAGGTTCCACTCCCCACATGGGTACAATGTGAAGCCCATATATGGTGTCAACCACCATGATCATCCCAGAATATTGCTAAAAGCAGCTGACATTTTGCTAAAACGACTCGCTGACATTCACTGTAATTTTGTTCCTGTTATCCATGAAATAATAGCCCCACAAAGCTGCATATTTGCTATACCCCAGTAACTCTAACTCTAGGAACATGAACTGAGACATTGTTAATTCCATTTTGTGAATATTTCTGACATTAACTTTAGATTTTTATGCAAAATGTTGACCTTTCAGCAGGTGCACATAAATCCTTGAACATACCAAAGCCGTGCTGGGACTTTAATCTGGTTGATCAATAATGGGATATATCATGATTAGTGGTGGTCCGATTAATTGAAATAATTGAAGATTGGTCGCAGTGACTAAATGACCAAGCAATCGATCATGTTTTTTCATAATCGAACACAAACAATTCTTGAACACTTGTTTTCATGAACAATATTTTTCACAAGGTTGGTTTTATCTATTACATTTCATAAGCACTACAAGCTTGTTCCAAGTCGTGATTGAATTCATCTTAAAGACACCAAGAAATTTATATTCCTAACATACTAGTCATCTTTAAAGATGTGAAACTTGCCAAAAACACCCTAAAAATAACTACATGTTTTTTCCTTATTTTTTTGTGCATTAACAAATTTCATAAATGACGCTAACCAATTATTTTCGATGATTGATCGGTGGTAATGAACCAATCATCAATTATGAGATTTTAGCCAATTCCCAACACTAATGATGATGTAATTATTGCAACATGTGTTCCTTTGTTCCAGATTTAACATTCCAAATCACAATGCAAGGCTATGGCTTGGGAGAACCAGGTATTATTCCATTGTGTTTCATATTTCATGTTTATTTTCCTCTATATGAACAGTGATCATGATGATAGAAATATCTATAATATTGCAGCCTGAGACAAGTATATGTTGAAATATATTTAATGTTTTCAAGTTTCCAGGTGAAGATGATGATGATGATGATGATTTTAAGGGGGGGTCACCCATTTTGTTCTGGGGTGGGGGTCATCAATTTTGTACACATGTACAAGGGGGTGGGTCATCAATTTTGTACATGACATGCTGGGGGGTGTTACTTATTATGTGCATAAATTTTAGGGGAGTCATTCACAATGTACCTGCTTCTCCATAAAAATCATCATCACCCTCATTTCTTGTGTCCCCAGCCTTACTTAAAAGCTGCGTAAAATTAAACTCACTCAGTCACTCATTCAGATTTAATTTTTGTAGTGGTTTATTATACCGTTTAATGTAACTATTTCGGAAGTGCTTACTAGTTCATATGCATAATGTTTTATATTTTGTTTTGCTATAGAATCTGGCACCAAAACAAATGAATTACAGTCTCAACTAATGGCTGAGAAGAAAGAAAGGATCAAAGTTGAAACAGAAGTGGAGTTACGAGACAAGAAGATCAAAGTTTTCGAAAGCGAACTTCATGCTCAAAAGAAGAGGTATTTAGGAGAGCTAAGATCTCAGACTCATACCATGAACAATCTGAAAGCGGAACTGGAGGCCAAATCCAATAATATAGCTTATCTGACTTCTGAGCTTCACAGGTATAAGCTCAATAACAAAGTGGACCCAGGTGCTGATACCACTATACGGAGAACACAAGCCCCAAACTATGTCCCAACTCCACCAACAGATATCAAGTCTACACTGCGGAGACAGTATCGAAGATATGGAAATGCAGACGAACTCCAGTCTCGTCCCCTCCGAGTCGCGTCGGGTAAAAGCAGCGGCTCAAGTCGATCCGAATCTCCAGACATCACGCCGTTCCTTAAAACAGGAGAAGGTGTGCCGGTTATTGACAAGCGGCAACAGACCTCAATCCTGCCACCAATTTCCAAAATGGGTCAAGAGAGGAATGCTGTGTTGGTACATCAGGTTGTGTCATCTCAGCAGCTAGGGAGGCGAAAGGCAGATTCAACATCTCCCGAAATTGCAACATTAGCAGTAGAACAAGTGTCGAGGGCGGAACCCGGGTTGGGTTCATCATGCCCAGGAGTCTCACAACTCGGAGTATCAGTGAAAGTGTGCTTGCCAAGTTTCTATGCCACGGAAGGACAAATATATTGGAAGTATTCTGTGCTGTGTGCTTTATCATTTTATCCATTGTAGATCAGATGTTGGGTTATTATGGGATCAAACTTGTGATGGCCGTCATAAATGAGATTCAAAGGCTATGGCGTTCATCATTGTTATCTTCGGTTGAGAAATGTTCAGGAATTTTGCTAGTGTGAAAACCAATGTACCATGTGGAAAACTAATGCTTTCAAATTACTAATAAGGGAAACTGTGTCTAATGTGCTTATTTACTAATATTACCTAAAGTTTTTATCATCATTCCTTGGATGTTTTATTATTTTTGTTTCACCATTTCATATATCAGCAGAAATGATAAATATTGAAAGAAATCTTTTTTTTACACTTCCTTGAAATAGTTTACCTATTAATAAAAATGTCTCAATCTTGATAGGATGAATTAGTTTTGGGTATAATGGAAGGTAAAATTATCCTCACAAACGCAGAATGGTATGTATGGTTTTGTTAAAGAGCAAAATCTTCAGTGTCTCACTACAAAATGACAGTTAATGTCAAAGTATTTAATTATGTTAATGACCACAATCATCATTTTTCATGAAATATATGCCTGTTGACTTGAGAGCTTATGCGATACTTAAAATGTTTCATAAGTGTCTTTCAATTAACTCCTTAATCCTGTGTAAGTCGTTACCATGGGAACAGATATCTTATTTCATGCTGTGAAACAGATCTGTATGTATGACTGTTTTAGTGTGTGTTATTTATTTTCTCCTTGCATATATGAAAGAGTGTTTCATAGTACCTGTGAATTATACATAATATATTGATTGTTTAGGATTTGTTTAGTTTTAGTACAGTAACAAGTACAAGTATTGTTAATGTTGAGTTCAGGGTGGTATTATGATGTTCATTTCCCTCATTCATTAAACATGATTCTACACCTATTTACATTGAAGATATGTGACCATAGTAAGGCGTTATAACCATATGAAATATTCCTGAACTTTTTTTTAAAGATATTGATATTTTGGTGCAAACTATAATCACAACCATATAAACATTTGATCCTCACTGCTGCAGATCTATGCAATCAATCTTCACTTTCTTCGTTCTCACCATTCTTGCGATTTGTGTCATGTATACTGAACAAAAGAAGTTGAGGATCATGAATCTTTCAGGGATATTTATGTGCTCAGTTTTCATTGCTAAAAAAACCCCCAAATATTCATGATCTTTTAGTTGTTTTGTTCAGTGTGTATTGAATGCCACGGTAAGCTGATCACTATAACCAGGTTCACTATACATATAAATTATAAGCCTATCAAAATTCGTGCTGTTCGTATGTGTCATCCACAATCCGTATTTACACAATAAATAGATGAGGACCTTGTTCATTGTGCAGTGTTGATGATGCCAATATGGCGACAATGGTCCATTTTCCACCTAGTCTATGATATGTCATAATGCTGTTTACGTTGATTTCTTTCCTCGTGCCCCTAACAGCACTGTGATAAGTAAACTATCGCAGAGAATGTATTATTATTTATGCTTTGTGATTGATAGTTTTGAAACCTAGGCCCTGTTCCACAAAGCTATCGTAGCGCTAAAATGATCGTAACTCCCAATGCTTCACCCATTGAAACTAAGAATTTAAAATCCTAGGTTAACATGTTCACCAGAACCTCGCTGGGAGGTCTTGTCAAGTATGTTCACAAAGGGGTACGATATCAGTGGTGTAACCTGATCTTAATGAGATCGGTGCCGTGTCACAATGGATGAAGACTGATTGTGTGAAAATTGAATGCATGTTGCATATGTTTAAGTTATGGACTTAGCGTTAATATTATAATTGCAGAAGTTCGCACAATTACACAGGAAGGTAACTAATAAAAATTTATTATATCACTTTCAAATTTTATGTTCTTAAACAGTAGAGATACGATGATGTATTCATCGTCTATTTAATCTTTACATGTTTCATTTAGGAACATGTAGCTAAACAAAATTTAAACATGGCTGTCTGATTAGAGAGTGTGGTTTATGAAGTGTCCGCTTTGGTCGAGAACAGATATATAGACTGCTGACTAGATATGGTGCTGTTTGTGTAACCAGTTTTCCTGTAGCTTGGTAGAGTGATTAGAGTCACTTCTAGAGCCTCAGCTATTGGGATATCAAGATACGTATATGTTAATGATATACTGTTTTATGGGGACTTGTAGGGCTGGCTATCAATGTAGATCATAAAGATCAATAAATATCAGAGACGATACGTCAAGCAAAAATGAGCAAAAATGTCAAAAATGTATGAAGAAAATGAATATATTTCACATCGCTGGTTTATGCATGGATTATTACCAAAACTGCATCCTGAACATACTAATTATTTAGAAGCAGACCATGAATAAAATCAGATTTGTATATTGTGTGAAAAAATTAAACCTTTTTTCTTTCACAAAAGTTAATGTACAATATTATCGACAACACAATTTTCATAACGATACTCTTAATAATGTTTATGTTGACGATATTTCGGATCATTGATCAGGCCTAGGACCTCATCTCACACAGTTTTAGTGAAGTTAGAAACATCTTGAATGTATCATTTTGTTGTATTATGTATTTATATTTGTACATATTTATATCAACAAAATGTATAAATCTATGGCTCACAGGATACAAAATTGAATTGCTTTTCTCTTGCTCAAACCATCACCTTTAACTGCTTGATGTGTTTTTCATCCAATAGTTTTGTAACTCAGATTATGCAAATTATTTCTTTAAACGAAAACATTGAATCTGTTTAATCTGATAAGAACAGTTTCATTAAATTTTTGTCTGTGATAACTATGGTCAGAACAAGGTTTTGTTAAGCATTAATCATATCATCAGGTTTTCATTTGATCACTCCCCGCCGTGGCATTGCTGGAATATTGCTAAAAGCGGCGTCAAACCATACTCACTCACTCACTCACTCATGGGATCACTGACCAGTTTCTCCTTGTGGTAAGTGATTATTCAGTCATCATTTGTAGAAAGATTCCCATCATGCATCTTGCATATATTAAGAGACTGGGCCTAGATTTTCAAAGCTCTCTTAACGCTAAGATAGTTGTAAGTTAATGTTAATGAATGTCTCTTACGACTATCTTAGCGCTAAGAGAGCTTCGAAAATCTAGGCCCAGCTTAATAGGGGATTGGTTGGTGCAATGTGGGTCGAGGATTGTTCATGCTGTCAGCCACTGTTTTATCAGGTCCTGACTCCTTCACAGGCTGCGGTGATACAGCTGCGGTATAGCTGTGATACAGCTGCAGTACAGGTGTGATATTTCTGATTCTGGTATTCAACACCTACCCTCTCAGTCACTTATTTGAAGCGCCCAATAACCTGAATTGTTACCCTCAAGATATGTGATATTTAGTCTCATCTCATTTTGATGCTGACATGACCATGGTTCAGCCAAGTGGTTAATGCTTTTGCTTGTAACACCGAAGACATGGGTTCAATTCCCTCATGGGTACTCTGTGTGAGACGATTTTGGTGTCCTCTGCAGTGGATATTGGTGGAATATTGGTAAAAGCACCCATTTTTGGAAAAAAGATATGAAAAAATATGCTTTAAAATGATGGGAGGGAGAGAATTGATGGGGGGGGGCACTTTGTGCATATGTTTTAGGGGGGTTCGTCATTCACATTGTACATGCTCCCCATAAAATTCATCATCATATCACACACACACACACACACACACACACACACACACACACACACACACACACACACACACACACACACAAGCTATAAATTATGAGCACTCCCTAAATGGTTTATCTTTATCAGATCCTATTGTTCTGTGGAAGCAAATACATCAGCATACTTCATATACTGTTACCTCATTCACTAACACATAAATTCTATAATAGTCTATAATGGTCTTGTTAATAGTCCTTTATGAAATCTAGTTACATTGAATCCACACTGAAATTTAGTTATATTGATACAGCAAGTTTGGGCCGTTAAATACAAATAGTTTGGGCACTGACTGCATATTAGCAGATTTTTAATGAGTATAGGTGTGATGGGGTTGGACTTTTTGAAGTGTTTGTTGTCTCACAGAAGATGTTCAGTTTGCCACATCGGTCCTGAGTCTGAAAGCTGTACCTGGTTGCCCAGTCATGTTGCTGCAGAAAGCAGCATAAAACATTCACTCACTCACTAATCAGTAGTACCAAATAATTCCATAGACTTAAGACCGTAGCCTGGCTAAGATTGGTGTGCCAATGGGTAAATACAGGCTGGAAACCTCTCAGATTCCACCCAAAGTCCCACATATTTACTCAATGAGCTCCGATTTCACTGCATTGTGAAGAAAGGTCATTTGTTGAATTAATGGCAGGTGATCATTTGTGATACTGACTATCTCTAATATATCTATATGTGCAGTATTTGCAATCTTGGAATGTGATATTATAACAGGTTGGTGTGATAAGAGTTTTAAAACACTGTCTACATTTTCCATTTGCCATGATGTTTATCATGTTTCCTGAATAAGAAATCTGTGTAACTGCTTCTTGACAGTTGCAGTAAGCATTATATCTGTTTTTATTTTCATCCCTTTGTCTTTTATTTGATGGATGTAACAATGGCTCTTAACAAAATTATTCCTGTTATGTTTACTTATTTATTTTATGTTTTCATAATGTCCGTCCAAAGTCAACAGATGATGAATTCCTATTTTTGAAAATCCTTTTGATTTTTGAACTGTTGAATGTCCCAATTTTGAATATCGTTTCAATGCAGTTATCAGTATTGTTTTAGGTATTCATTTATGTGAAATAAATATAGGGAGGTTTGTCATCAAAAGTTGTTAATGTGTTTTGTTGTTTGTCTGCAGTCAATTACAAGACTATTTCATATTACTGAACTATGTTCTCTATTATGGACACTGGTGACCCAGGCATCTGAGGAGATGCAGTTCTCTATTCTTATGGACACAGGTGACCCAGGCATCTGAGGTGATGCAGTTCTCTATTCTTATGGACACAGGTGACCCAGGCATCTGAGGAGATGCAGTTCTCTATTATGGACACAGGTGACCCAGGCATCTGAGGAGATGCAGTTCTCTATTCTTATGGACACAGGTGTCCCAGGCATCTGAGGAGACGCAGTTCTCTATTCTTATGGACTGACATTGGTGACCCAGGCATCTGAGGAGATGCAGTTCTCTATTCTTAAGGACACAGGTGACCCAGGCATCTGAGGAGATGCAGTTCTCTATTATGGACACTGGTGACCCAGGCATCTGAGGAGATGCAGTTCTCTATTCTTATGGACACTGGTGACCCAGGCATCTGAGGTGATGCAGTTCTCTATTATGGACACTGGTGACCCAGGCATCTGAGGAGATGCAGTTCTCTATTCTTATGGACACTTGTGACCCAGGCATCTGAAGAGATGCAGTTCTCTATTATGGACACTGGTGACCCAGGCATCTGAGGTGATGCAGTTCTCTATTCTTATGGACACTTGTGACCCAGGCATATGAGGTGATGCAGTTCTCTATTATGGACACTGGTGACCCAGGCATCTGAGGAGACGCAGTTCTCTATTCTTATGGACACTGGTGACCCAGGCATCTGAGGTGATGCAGTTCTCTATTATGGACACTGGTGACCCAGGCATCTGAGGAGATGCAGTTCTCTATTCTTATGGACACTGGTGACCCAGGCATCTGAGGAGACGCAGTTCTCTATTCTTATGGACATTGGTGACCCAGGCATCTGAGGAGCCAAAGTTAGCGGTGCAGAGTTTAATTCTTGAGGCATGCCAGATCGCCTCTGGGTCTGAATCTTGGTTTGCCTCAATTATGTTTGTAGGTCTGTCAGCAGCAGTACCAAAATGGGAAAATATTGCCAAGACCTCAGAGACCTTCATCACTTCAGGCCTTCCTCCCATGTCAAGCTGACGCATTATGAGGAACTGGAATCTAGTTCACAGTGGCATTTCACAGTACATTCAGGCACCCATTTGACAGCACACAGCTGCGGTGGCTGACTGGGTTAGATAGCTGACTTTGTGTGCTGCTGATTAGGTGCCACACTTATCTTAGAGCTATCCTAATTGAAACGGAGATTGGATGGTCAAGATGGTTGACCATTGCTCTGATTGGTTAGCTGACGAAAGATCAGCTATTTTGGATCAGCTGGGAGTCATCATTACAAGCAGTTTGAACTTGTTTCTTGTGGAAGATTATGATGTCAGGACAAGGAAATGTTCTAAAAATGCACCAATTGGGTACATGCATGAGGCATGTTGGAGTGTATAGCGACTGTTTGGACTTGTATGGTGCATGTAACATGAGTCTAATGAGTAATACTATCTTGAATGCTTTTCCGAACTGTCAAAGAACATGTTAGTAATAAATCAAGTTGAAGAGACATGTAGCTCAATGTAAAATACGTTAGATAATAACACACACCCCAAACAATAAACCTGACTCCCTTTTCTGTGCATTTATGTTACACATGCATTGTTTATAATAAACCAGTGCTGTCTTGTTCATCAAAGTGGGGTGGTGGGGTAGCCTAGTGGCAAAGGCATTTGCTTGTCACTCTGAAGACCCAGTTTCGGTACTCCACATGGGCACAATGCATGAAGCCCATTTCTGGTGTGCCCCTGCCGTGATATTGCTGGAATTTTGCCAAATGCTTTGTAAAACTCAACTTAATCACTCACTAACTTTTTCATCAAAGTTCTGTTATCAGAGTAGTGCATGTTCTGCCATTCCTTCACAGAAAGCACCTAAATCCCATGCATGCAGAGGTCAGTTTCACCCAGCAGCCTTTTTATCAACATCTTCATAAGTTCAGGGAATTATATTTTCCTCCTGTCATGGTAAATACCCTGGCTTCGTTCACTTTGAGGCTGATCTATATTTGACGCTTATAAAAGTTGCCCAGTCAAGTTGGCCTTTAGGAGCAAGAGACATTCTGTGCTAAGGTAGGAGCAATGGAGGTGGCGAGGTCATTTCAACAACGAAGTTATAGTGGCCAATGGCTCCATGGGGTAACATAAAAGAATGGAGATGTAATCTCAAGTTAATCAACGATGCCATGTCACTATCACAAGCTTGTTATGTCCATGGGGGAATGAATAGTACAAAAACGCTATCGGGCTATCTTAATGTAGCTCGAAATAGCGTGAGTGAGTGAAGTTAGTTTTACGCCACTTTTAGGAATATTTCAGTAATTTCACGGCCGGGGGCACCAGAAATGGGCTTCACACCTTGCACAAATGTTGGGGGGGACCCAACCCGAGCCTTTGGCGTGACGAGCCAACGCTTTAACCACTAGGCTACCCCACCGCTCCACTTCGAACTAGGAACTGCATCAATTATACTTTTCAGTAAGTGGTGTCAAATCAAACGTATGACCCCTGAAACCGACTACCAGCTGATTTGTATGTCACAAGACGGCAGCGAGCAAACCAGACAGTTTGATTGTGTACTGAATATTACTAACAAAAGATGCACTAATCAAACAATAACAAAATATGAGAAATAGCGTCAAGTTAGGTTGAAACAGGTCACGATTAGTCTTCAGGGACCAATGTAGCCAATTTTGAAAGAACATTTTTAGCATTTTAAGCTTTGTCTGGGATAATAGTGGATATTATCAAGAAACAGGAAATTTTCCACAGAATTCGAAACTGTTGAGAGTATTTGTGTGCTTGATACATTTTGAATTTTATTGCATTTCAAAGTGAGGGTTGAAGAGGAAGGACACATATATGTCCCTCTGGCGTCCAGGAGGTTGAAACGGAAGGTCGTTATTTGTCTTCAGGGACCCGTTATCATCGTAAGGAATCGGGTGGTCAGACTCGCTGACTTGGTTAATGCAGCTCATCTCCTGCTGATGCTTTGATATGTGCTCCTCGGAACTTATAATTTCTTTCAAAAAGATTTACTTTCGTGATGCTACAAAACGGCCTGCTTTCCGCATGCATCCAGGTTCATAATTTGATCTTCAGCAATAAATGCATGTCGCCAGAGGCGACTAACGGGATCTGGTTTTCAGTGCGCTGACTTGGTTTACAAGTGTATCCCAATCGCGCAGATCGATGCTCCTGTTGATCACTGGGTTGTCTGGTCCAGACTCGATGATTTACAGGCCGCCGCCATATAGCTGGAATATTGTTGAGTGCGGCGTAAAACAACAAACCAAACAGACAAAATTACAAATGTCATCTTGTCCATTACGTAGATAAGATGCTCGTGATGTCAATCACTGGTTTTTGGGTCCGGGCTCGATTACTTCCAGACCGCGTTCATATAGCTGGAATATTGAGTGAAAATTATTAGTTTCACTTTTATGAATCAGGAAATGTACAGATTTTATTACCCATAAACTACAGGAAAATTCCAACCTCACATTGACAATAATAATGGATATATTTCATGTACAGCCATACAAATTCCATTCTCAATACTGCTTGCTGATTACAAGACTTGCGTGACTGCATACGTGACTGGAAATGATTAGCAATCTAGCTCCAATCTTTCTCGCGACAATGCAACCACGAAAATACCATGCAGTGTATTTTTCTTTTAAAAGGTTGAAATATTTTTGGTTCGTTGTATTAGTTTGAGATCACTCGGGAGTATTCTACAAATCAGTATTGATTATAAAGTAAGCTGTGGAATGTGATAGCCGTTTGTTTTGGTAACTGTTAAATTAGGGACATAGATAGATGCTCAGTGTTATTTGTTGTCAAGACGTAACTACAGCGACGTCCTGGAGATACTGTCGTGGCATTGGTCCGTAACTCAGCAGGTAGTCCATGGCCCTGAATAATGGATTAAGATTGATATTATGTTTAGCTTCAGAAGATCTTCATTGCAACACTGATACGGTCCTGTCATTGAAAGTAAGGGAGTGAGTGCATGGGCTGATCCAGGAATTTTAAGGGGGGATTCGAACCCCCTGAAACCCCGATTGGCTCCGCCAACGCAAAACCAAAAATCTTTAATGTGGTCTTAAGTCATTTCAAAGGAGGGTGTGTGTGTGTGTGTGTGTGTGTGTGTGCGAACCAGAATATCATCCTGGCGAGGTTGTAATTGGACTTGAATTTTGGGCGCTGTGCTATCCGAATAGGGATCGTAATGTAGGTATGGTACAGGAAGGTCAATGCATAGGCGGATCCAGAAGGGGGATGCAGGGGTGCGCACCCCCACTTTTGTCATGAAAGTATATTACATGACCATTGACACTCGGGTAAAAATGAAATGTACACCCTCCCTTTGTAAATAGTAATCCCTCTCCTCCCCAACACACACACACCTTGTAAAAAAGCTGTATCCGCCACTGGTGCACCCCCGCCCCCATCCCTTTTTCCAAAATCCAGGACCTGCCTCTGATTGGGGAACGTGTAAGCGTCAACGTCACATGTCGATTACGTTGGCTGAACTTTGCCAAGAGGAGGGGGACAGATCATCGCCCTTCAGGATAGTGGGCGGTCACATTGCACAATCAGCTGTACACATAATGTGTTTCCAGTTATAATACAACTGTTTTCCCGAACCATTATGGAAAGTTTCATTTACTGACTGAGCCACACGCAGCAATATTCCATATCTATATGGTGGCGGTCGGTAAATAATCGAGTCTGGATCAGTTCAGTGATCAACAGCATGATCGTCGATCTACGTACGCAATTACGATGACAAAAGCCCCAACTAGCATCAAGGTATATATTGTCACTACCACAGTCTGAGCAATATATAAAATGATCCTTTAATATATAGTTAGGAATCCGCCAGTAACAATATGTTCCTTGCTGCTAGGTATTTTCTTCTTTTGCGTCACAAACATCTGTCTTTCGACGTATAACATGCTTCAGCAAATATATATTATTCGCTATTAACTACAGACGATACAGTTTTGAAGTTTTTCGAATGCAGAGCCAGGGGTAATTACTCTGGGATTTGAACAGACACAGCAAACTCCTTAAAAGACAGCTTTAGTATTCTTGAGCTTGAAGTATTTCTTACATCTGTTTGCATCCACATTAGAATATTCACAGAATAAAGATAGAAACTAAAATATGTCGACATCAGTTATCAGCTTTCCACAAAATCCATAAAGTTACTGTTTTGTGTAAATGTGGGAAAGATGTGTCACCAATTTTTTTTATTGACACTGAATCTTTACCACCCAAACTGGGCCCCAATTCGTATTCGTCAAATTTCCATTCCCAGTTTTTAATCGCAGCAAAATGGCTGCGCCCATGGAGAGCACGGCCGCTGATATGCACGAATCCACAGGCGAACCAAACATACCCAAGCTCGAAATGAATGATGTGCAAAACTTTAATTTGATTCTAGACAGTGTGATTGGTGAGAAAAAATACAGATCTCGTTTTATGATGCCTCTCGGAACATTTCCTCAGATGGCGAAGTCGAAGGAAGAAATAATGATTGCAAGAGCATTCGAGAGCTGCACATTTAAGTCAGTTGCAAGCTGTGTTATTGGTAAGGAGTTCTACAATAAAGTGGATGATTGAACAACGATTAGCGATTAAGAGCGATGATACTGTAATGAAGACATGTGTCCGTTCAGGTTAAAGGTAGTTGATGTGTCGTAAAATCCATCTGAATGGCGTCACAAGGGCAGGAGGGTTAAATGCTTAGCGATTTCATCAGTTGATACAGGGAAGGCTACCTTTGTCGAATTTTATTTAAATCCAAAGAGGTAAAAATATGAAAGGGCAACATGCTTCTTCCTGCTTCCAGATCCTATAATAACGTTTGGGTACCCTAGGTACCTTTCTGCTTACCCGATGCTTTGCTTGTTTGTTTCACGCTGTACCCAGCAAGCTTCTTCTTATGAAATAGTCAGTAAATAATGAAGTCTGAACCAGATATTCCAGTGATTGACATCATGGAAGTATCTCTGTGCAATAGGGATACAGTGACATGCGACAACCAAGTCAGCAAGCCTGAACCACTGGATCAAGCTAGTGGCTTCTCCTGACAAGCTTGGGTTGCTGACAACCAATTCTAAACTGGGTCTTCAAGATTCTGTCAGTGTTTATTGTTTCATCACCAGATGACCAATAATTTTGTAGCACATGCACCTATGGTCATGTCTACACAAAGTTTTATCCCCACATGGGTACAATGTGTGAAGCCCATTTCTGGTGTCCCCCCCCCTGAAATTGCTGGAATATTGCTGAAACAGTGTAAAACTAAATTCACTCACTCACTTTAAGGCTTTAAGAAAGTTGTCTGTGAAAAGCAGCTATAGTGCTACGATGATCTTAAGCCCATGTTAAATTATGGTAGTTACAATTAGCGTAAGTGATGAGATCACTTAGTCAGGAGTACATTTGTTTATACATAAAGGTATTTTGGATACATTTATATGCAGACTACCCAAACAGGGCTTGTGTGTTTTTCCTTTCAATATGCTAAACCATATGACCGCCTCCGTGGTGTAGCGGTTAGAGCCTCCATCCGGAGAACGGAAGATCCCCGTCCGCATCATACCAAAAGATGTTAACATATGGTACATGTTGGCCCCTCCCTGTCGCTCGGCATTAATGGATACAACAAGGACTGGGCGGCTCGGAGTCAGTGTAATGTGTCTGAGTGGGGTATTCATGCTTAACTGCAGCATGGTATATCAGTGAGCTAGCACTATAAAACCAGTTAAAGTCTGGGCTAGTACAAGTAGCCACACATACACACGCATGCACGTCGTCATATGAGCGAAATATTCTTAAGTGCGACGTTAAATATCATTTCACCTCACCTTACCTCAACCATATACTTGAATATGTGTTGCTGACATTCTGTTGCACAGGTTTCGGGGTGGGAGCAGCGTTTGGTTTGTTCACAGCAGGGGTGGACCCGATGTCTACGATCAGCACGGAGACTCCGACAACCAGAATGGTGCTGAAGGAAATGAAACTGAGGTCCATCTCCTATGGGAAGAACTTCGCTGTTGTTGGCTGCATGTTTGCTGGCACAGAGTGTTTATTGGAATCGGTGAGTTTGGCATCTGAGGATCAGTTGCATATGCTTCGTATGTTCATTTATTGCTGCACTTGGCAATAATGAACCTATAAGGTGGCAATCTGTAAACAATTAAATCTGGATTGCGTTGTTGTGTAACGCTGCACTCAGCAATATTCCACCTGTATAGCGGTGGTCTGTATATAATTGAGGGTGGACCAGACAATCCAGTGACAACGTGCAGGGTCAATGTTGAGAGACTTTTTCGTGTTTTACCAAACTTTCAATTTAACACTCATCAAACTTTTAATTTGACACTCTCAATATTTTTATTTTTAAATTTTTTTTTAAAACTTTACAAGGGCACTGTTGTGAGAGAAGTCACAAAATATGAGCTTGATGTGTGAGAATAGGCCGTGGTCATACTGTGTGTGTATCATTTTAAAAGACACACTTAGACAAGAGAACAGACAATGACAAAGTTATCTCCCCTGCATCAAGGGTCCCCCATAGCTGCATGCTGTAATATGACTGAAATACTGGTCAAAGCGACCATGAACCTACTTTAATCACTCTTATGATAATAATAATAATAGTAAAGAAAACACATGTTTATTAGGCGCCTATTCCACACCCCAAGGCATGCTCTAAGTGGTACTAAATGTTTACGCTGGAGTATTTGCAGCTGACATTATAAGTGATATGCTGAAAAAGGGTGGGTTATAAGTCTAGACTCAAAAATGTCAATGGTGTCAGAGCTTTAATGGCACAAGGCAGAAAGTTCCGAAGTACAGGTGCAGAGTAAGAGAATGAACAGTCTCCAAAGGATTTCCGTTTGTAGGATGGGATGACCAGTAGATTTTGTGTGTATGACTTTGAGCACAAGTTGCGTGCGGAAACATACAGATTTAGGAGCTCAGACAAGTAGGAGTGAGCCAAACCATGGAGGCACTTGTATGTCCCAGAGGATCTTAAAGTCGATTCTAGCTCTAACTGGTAGCCAATGCAGTTCTTTCAACACTGGTGTTATATGGGAACGTTTAATAGTCTTGCTGATGATGCGAGCGGAAGTGTTTTGGATTTTTTTATCTTATCATCAAGGAGTTTAGAACTGAGGTCTGAAAGGATGCTGTTACAGTAGTCAAGCCTCGATATTACAAGAGCTCGAACAAGGGCTTGAGTTGCAGCAGTTTGGCAAATTTATGTTGTCCATAGGGTATTATTGATGTTTTATTAGCTACACTGATTCTACAGGCGTAATGATGCTAATGGTGGTTAAACAGAACACTGAAGATATTTAAATCTTTGCATGTTTCTGTTTCTCATCTGACCATGTGTGTTCCAGTACCGAGGGAAGAGTGAGTTGATTAATGGAACCCTCTCCGGGGGCATCGTGGGAGGTGTTCTTGGTTTGAGAGGTGAGCAATTTTTATATCATTGAGTCAGACAAGTAGTTAACCCAAGTTGTGCCTGAAGGTCTTATCATTTTAGTTACATCATTAAAAACATATATCAAATACCTCTCTGGATTAAGATTGGACAAATCCTCCATAGGAGGCCATGAACATTGACCAAACTCGAGGAAGGATGCTGGACATCTTTAGTAACTCTGATGCCAAGGATATTTTTACTTGTATTAACATGTGTTGATATGATTGATGTCAGTAGACATGGGGGTGAGATTCTATTTATCCTAAAATATCACACTATGTTAGTTTTCAATGAAAAATGTACATCTCTGAATGAGTTCTACCATTATATTAGACTTGCAGTGCAGCGATGTCATATCATTGTGACATCATCAAGTTCATGATGTCATGGCATTGTCAGGGCATTGTACAAAGTCTTCTGTCAAAATGATATCTACTACGAGATATTGTTTGATCTCACACAGGCATAATCTCCTGTGGAACAGAGTTTTTGGATGATAAATGTATATGAAGCCCGGGATTGAAACATACATGTAGCCCATGCATTGCTATGTTTTTCAGCTGGACTGAAGGCTGGTCTCCTGGGTGCAGCTGGATTTGCTCTGTTCTCCACAGCTATAGACTACTACTTCAGACACTGACAGCCGTCAGCTGATGACATTGAGTGGCAGCTAGAGACAGAGATTGACAGCTGATTGACATGTTGATAGCTGACTGACTATTTCATTGTATGTGGAACAGCATCCAGCTGACAGTCCCTACTGAGAGAACATCACAAAGATTGTTTCATATCAAATAGAAAAATAGAGGCCTGATCCAGAATATCATGCTGATCGTTTTGTATTGCGATGTGTATTGATACTGTATTGATTGTGAGTCCCTACTTTGGTACAAGCGAAGTGTGTCATCGATAAGAAGCCACCACGGCTTCCACAAAATGGAAGTCACACAACTGGTAGTCTGATCAAGTACTTTATGTACCCCTCTGACAAATGTGAATGGCAATCTGTTATTTTGTTTGTCAAGGATACCACCTGGAATGTTTATTGTTATTTGATCAGCCAGTTAGTATGATAGGTATTTATCATCGTCAGGCCATTTATAGTAAGAACAGCCACTTCACTGTTTTTTTCAGTTTTTACAGGAGGAGGTGTCTGTGAAGTTGCTTTACGTGACGTGGTTACTTCAAAATGTTTCATGAAGTATGTTTTTGGTTGGGCAATCTTGGTGGGGATAGTTCAGTTCTGTGAGATACCACATGTATATATGTGTTTAATGCTTGAATGGGAGTGAGTGAGTCAATGTGTATAGTGCTTGAATGCATGATGAATAAAATATGTCAATATTAATTGTGTTTTAATTTTATGACAGTATGAATATAAGCACATTGTGGCATAAAGCAACTTAAACATACCATATATGAGAAAATGTACCGACCGCCATCATATAGATGGAATATTAGCATTAAACAAACAAACATATATTGGAATGTTTTGTTAGAGACAGAATACTAGTAGTTTATCAGTTATTGCCTCAAAACATTTGCTGTGTAAGGTGGAACAACAGTCTAAGTAAATTTAGGCTCAGTTTTATTCGTTACACTGCTATACTGAGCAGTTTAACGAATAATACTGAGCCTAAGTTTACTTAGACTGGGTGGAACAACAACTTTGTGGCTTTCCAAACATGCTTTGCTTCAGGATATCCATCAAGTAATTTATGTTTTCATATAACCCCATGAAAAGTGTTCTTTGAAACAAATTATATTAAAACAAATCCGGGTAAGTGCGGTAGCTTAATAGATACAGCGTTCGCTCTTCCGGCTTCGATTCCCCACAATGGGTACAATGTGTGATGCTAATTTCTGGTGTCCATCGTGAAATTGCTGGAATATTGCTAAAAACTGAGTAAAACCATACTGGGTCACTTTAATCCCAAATATGGCTGAAAAAAGTAACTAAAACGGACGTAAAATATTCTACCATAACTTCAGTAAATACTGAATTGTGATTGGAAAATTAAAGTCATTCAGAGCTATATATACACACGTTATATACCTCTTATTTTCCAACACAGTGTGTATCTTTTTAAAATCCTAATAACGCGGTTTTTGGTAGAATGGAGATAAACATACTGTTTCATGTGACCGTGCAAAATTTGGTTTTGTAGCATTTATTAGATTTTGTGTTAGTGAGCAATTCATCGGTCTCAAATGAAATCAAACGGACTGTACGAAGGATTGGGTTTCCAAATCTTCATCCACAGCTGAAACAGAATTCCGGACAATTCCTCTGTCAATAGTGCAGTTCACAAAAAACCTACCCAGACTTACACTTTAATTGCGATGTGTCTACGTGCAAATGTTACTTTAAAATCAGGCTGCCTAATATATCAAAAATGTCGTTTTTATCATACGATGGAGATGCAGTTATTTTGACATAATTAGGTCCTTTATTGTGTTATTTATTGACATGAACTGTAAGTACTCTGGAAATTTGATTGTGTCGGACGCTAAACTTGCAAGTCTGTTAAGACATGGGAACTGCGATTTTAACAGGCATCGATGTTCTGGACTGCTCGTAAAGATTTGTTTGCTGGCCACTAGACGCGTGTAACAGAAGGCTCTGGAATCTGCTTGATAGTGTTGCTTTATAAAGGCATGCAGAAATGTATCATTTTAGGTTAGAATACTATAGATTTGTCCTGGACATCTGTTTAGCTTTTGTTTGTTTGTTGTTTAACGCCGCACTCGGCAATATTCCAGCTATATGGTCTGTAAATAATCGAGTCTTGACCAGACAATCCAGTGATCAACATCATGAACATCGATCTACGCAATTGGGATACAATGACATGTGTCAACCATGTCAGCGAGCCTGACCACCCGATCCCGTTAGTCGCCTCATACGATAAGCATGGGTTGCTGTTCAAAGGCCAATTCTAACCCGTATCTTCACGGGTATCACCTCGGTGGTAAACGCTCACAGTGGCATCACGCTGTACGAGATAGCGAAGCATTCAGACAAGTATACCCGATATCTCCATCTCGAAAGCCAATATAATTGGGAAATATTCCTGCAGTATTTTATCGCTGTGGATATTTTAATACACCCTGTCGTGTCTGAACATTTGCGAATAGTACACAGTGTGCGAAAATTACGCTGGTCCTGTGGTGCCTGGCTAGTAACAATTCATCGGGACCACTAAATGATAAGTATGCAGTGGACTTGTGGCCAGTGAATTTTGTATTGACAGTTAAGTAAATCTACGAATGTTATTTTGGACCAGTGAAATACACACAGGACCACTAATTATTGTCCACTCACTGGTCCTGTGGTCTAGTGGGACATTTTGAAAAGGTTCTTTCCCTGAGTACAGCAAATGAAGTAAAGCAAACTGTATTGGTTAAAACAAACAAACAAACAAATAAATATTTCATTTGAATGGTTCAAGCACCCACGCCTTTCGCATTACACTACGAGTTTGGAAATCAAGGAATTCTGGGTAGATGAGAGCATCCGATTTGAAGAACGAGTTCCCCCCGCCATAGTTTACGTGACGCAACCTGCTGTGGAGACGTCCTCAGATCTTCACGACATCACGCCGGAATAAAATGATAATTGACCGTTCATTTTACACGAGTTGGTACGAAAACAGTAGATCGACTTTGACGTCACGTCAATTGTTCCAGTGACGCTTTTACGTCACAACTGTGTCTCATAGTTACGCCTAAACGATGACTGGCTTTACGTAATGGCGGACGTTGGAGGAAGGTTCGAAGTAGGTACTATGCTGGGAATATTGCTAAAAAGTTTCCTTACCGTACTAAATAACTGAAGAAAGTATTCAGGATAATATGTCTATATGACAGGTACAGAAATAATACTTGATGCAACGTATTGGCTACATTTACAACAAATGGCAACAATTAATTTGCAAAAGATCCTAGTTCCTTTTGGTTTTTTCCTTGGCTGAGCAAGTCGTCTAATGCACCATAGTTCAATTTTGCTCTTCTTTTAAATACATTATGATAGACGAGTTGGACAGACTGGTTACATTTTATTTTAATGTCCAATTTTTGATATTTGAAGACAAATAACTTTCACTATATCACTAATTTATAATGACTTTATCAGAACATTACGACAAACCCTGATACCCTGCTATTGGGTGCAATGCATTGAAGATGCCCCTCTTACGTTCTTAGTTATTATAATTCTAATTGCCCTTTAACTGCATTTTCTATCTCTTTTTATCGTACCACAATTTTGTATGTGATAAATGTATGTATCTATACTATACATGGGCCTGTGGTCTTTGTACTGAAATTTATTTTCCCGCTGTTATAACCGAAAAACTGCACAGACATTAACTCAAAATCGCCCCCGTTTATATAGATCTACGTTTAGAGGTAATCTTGGGAAAGGGCCGCATACATGTAGGAGTCTCATTGTGTTTATCATAAATGCCGAGCGAAAGAAAGTAACACCTATGTTTCATGGTGGTAAATGATAAAAAGTAAATATACTAAGTGGTGTGACGATTCATCGATACCCCTCGATGCATCGATCCATGGGCCGCCGATACAGCGAATCGATACAAAGTTTTACATCGTCGTATATCCCGATACGATACTTCAAATGGGCAACGATACATCGATGTTTAACTTTGAATATTGCCGAATCGCGATATCTGTCAAGAAAAAAGACTTACTTTTGTTTGATGATTAAATATATGTTACTTATTTCCCCTTCATAAGTAAATGTTTTCTCGGAAATTCTTGCGTCGAGAACTGTGTCAGACATAGATATCCAGCCTAGTAATGAAATAACATTGGCGATTATTTGGTCGAATTCAGGTTTCAAGTGTAAACTATCATTAGATATATTATGTAAATTGATTCGGGTATCCTCTTGAAACAGTTAGGTAGCCGAGTGGATAGAACGTTCACTCGTCACGCTGAAAACCCGGGTTCGATTCCCTACAAGGTGCATTGTGTGGATCCCATTTCTGGTGTCCCCCCCACCTTCCCCCACCTAGTGTTATGGCTGAAATATTGAAAAGCCGCGTAAACCAATACTCAGCCACTCACTGATTCTTGTAATCATTGCACACGGTCCATTGTCCCCGTTACCTATGCGACGTACATGTAGCGAAAGACAACATTAACCTGTTCTGGTAGCTTGGCGCTGCTCGTTGATATCAGATGCCGCTAAAACGTAGGGAACCAGTTCAACCACCTGACCAGAATGTTTTCAGTTTCAGATGCATCGTTCGTGACGCTATGCCATACACTGAATTGTGTCTTAGGAACACAGAACATCATTCCTACAGCCTCACGGGACGCACTGACTGCCGAACTGCGAGTTTGTTCGTGTACCTTCGAAGACTCATTCTTTCTACGACCTTGCATACTCAGTGACAAACAGAATTCAGTACTAAAACTCGTGGCAAACACCCGCCATCTTAAACAAGACAAACCAGAACAAACGTCACGTGAAAAACAAAGGCAGTTTTCATAAAATGCATATGTGCACTGTTCAGGAATCGCTCCAGCACGGTCGAGAACTGGAACGGGCACGAAAATTTGCAAACCCAGGGGAAACGAACATGTCGGATTTATTGGAAGACTTATTGTCCAATCCTTCATCCCGATCTTCGTCAGAAACGAACACTTCTGGTATCGGCTCATTCAGCGAGATCAGTTTAACCAGCTCGACATCTGTAAGCTGTCACTCCTTCCAAATGCTTGTTCCGGAAGTTCCGCTGACGTCACCGCCATCAAAGCGGAAGTCGGCTGCTTCCCATTTTCTTTCCCGTCTGGTAGCGCTGTTTCGATGGATCAGCAGCAGGCGCCAGTCTGATTCAAAGAATGGAATGCCTGCAGTGTAGCGTTTCTTTGTCATGAGAATGGACAGGACGATTAGACGATGAGACTTTTGAAAGTGAGCTGAATTGTTTGTTTTTTTTCAAATATGACATTAATGGTACTTATGGATCTCGTTGCTTCAAAACAATAAAAATAAATATTCTTTTTGTAAAATTATGAATCAGCAGGGGCGGATACAGCTTTTTGAGAAAGCGGGGTGGGGTTGCACAGTTCAGAAAGGCGGGATGGGTGGGTGGATTGGTTTGCACCACCCGTTTTGTCGTGAGTTTCAATGGCATCTAATAAACTTTCAGGACAAAAAGGGTTTGCGCACCCTTGCGAGTCACATAGTGATACCACAAGGTGGATATGATAGCATTGATTTCAGGAAAATCCGTGTGAGGTGAGGGTGTCAGCCCCCACCTACAGTGCAGTGGCTGAGGGTGAAAATAGATACTTGGCGGGCTAAAGCATGACATTTTGCTGGGGAATATTATGATAAAACATATTTTTGGGGTGTGCCTAATTTTTTGGGCCCATTTTCCGAAAAATCTAAGATGGCTTCCAAGAAGGCCGCCACAAATCAAGGATTTCCAGTTCTAACACTGTATGACTTTCCCCCGCTGGATTATAGCAGAACACCTTGCACAGTGCTAGGGAACATCATGATAAAACATATCTTTGCGGTGTGCCTATTTCCCCAAAAAGCCAAGACGGAAAAATTGGATGTCAGAAAAGAGCCCAATATTCAAATACTTGGATTTGATTCTTCATCTCGAGACAATGACACCAATCTTTGTGAGGTCCCATCGCGAAAGAAACATGTCTCTGTACATACAGGTAATGGAACAACGTGACTCTTGGTTCTTTGCTCTTGATCACACCAACTATGCACGCTGGCTGTCAGTTCACATCAGAGACATGGAAACCCTTCCTGTTCACAGAAGAGAGTCCCTTCAGAGAGGCTGACAGGGATCCCGATAATGTTTCAACATCAAGAGTACGTACTCCTTATTTTTTCAATATAGGAGTACTGGAAACACATTTATATCACTGAATGGAATTTAATGATGTATCAGTTATCTTGTGTTTCGTTTCATATATGCACCACAACATTGTTACTCTTGTGTAAACAGGTCAATAAACAATAAAACAATACCTTTTCAGATGAATACGTCTGATAATGATTCTAAGACCGTACGTCATTGCTGTGGTGCGTATCTGCTACGTTTTCTTAAATATTTCCGTTATATCCGTACATACGACGATACGTCCATTAACTGGAGCCCTGGGTTGTGTTTTCCAAAAAGTATCAAACAAATTTTCTGCCATGCCTTTGGATCAAGCTCAAGACCAAAACAGCAAATTTGCAATATCAGAAAATGTTAACTTAACTATAGTCCGTTTGGCTTAAAAGCGGACCGATGAATTGCAATCTAACTCGAAAACTAATAAACATATAATACTCAATGAAACACTGATCATAATCAAAACCTCAGACCAACTCTGTGAGGTTTTTGCAGAATAAATGTCCTATAAATAAAAAAGTTGTTTAAGAAACTATCCTTAAAATATCGACACAATTAACTATTTGTTACGAGGGACGCGCGAGAGAAAGGGACAGCCAGGTGTGCGAGAAAGGATGGAGACGGCACAGTACAAGTTAATGAATCAATAACGTTGTCGGCAGTTGTGCACGTGCTTCTCTAACACCTGGCTGTCCCTTTCTTTGCACTCCTCCCTCGTAACAAATGGTGAACTGTGTCAAAATTTTAATGATAGTTTGTTAAAGAACTTTTTAAATTTTAGAACATAAATTCTGCAAACAAATCACAGAGTTGGTCTGATGTTTTGATTATGATCAGCGTTTCATTGAGAATTATATGTTTATTAGTTTTCGAGTTAGATTGTAATTCATTGGTCCGCTTTTGAGCCAAACGGACTATAGATGGCTGATATCTGGACCAGAACAAGCAAGAATTCTGCAAGAGTTCGAGAAGCAAGATGAACAAGGTTTTGCTACACAGCCGACATTTAACACTCAAGTCACCAAATTATGTGGCCCAGTTGCTTCGATGGGAAATCCCTTCCTGGTAGAGTCTCCTGAACTGATTACCCTTGATGAGCATCACGGTGTTGGTGAAGCTGTCGTAGCATGTATGAAATGTATGGACAAAACAGAAAAAGACAAATAAGAGAAGTTTGTAAAGGAAATGACAGGGTCAATTCACAGCCCCATCAAGAAAAATCACCTCCTTTTTTTCAAGCGACCACAAACAAAACCTCAGTCTAAATCAAACAGCAAACGAATGACCTGAAAAATGACTACAGTCCCTTCAGTCAGATGTTCATTGATTGTCAGGTACGTCAATCTCATTGAAGTCAATTCTTTTCTCATGAAAACCACCCGTGGCTACCATCCATATCAGTTCATGGAAAACTTCATTTGCCAAACTGCAAATCAGAGCTCTTAGATTGTCTTGCATCACCTGACTTTGACTCTATTCGAGACAACACGACAAAAGCAAAGAAAAGACACTAGAAGAAAAGTTTACCGTTATACTAGACTACCTATGATGTTTGCTTCTTTTCTAAAGCAATCAAAGGACAAAGAAGAACTCGTTGCATTCTTAACAGATGGTGTGGCTAGCAGCTCTTACCAACCAGGAAAGGTGGTGTTCATAACAGCTGTGGAGTCAGGAAGAGACGGATACCAGAATCTGACTTCATGTCAAAGCCCCGCCGTGATGTTGCTGGAATATTGCTAAAAGCGGCGTAAAACCAAACTCAGTCAGTCAGTCATGTCAAAGATGCTATGCAAAAAGGTGCTACAAACATCATGGTTAGTACTATCGACACGGATGTTGTTGTCCAAACTGGTTAAAATAGAGTCTGCTGTTCAGCTGTGGGTGCCATTTGGAAAAGGGAAAAACTTCAGATATTATCACATCAACAGAATATTCCAAGATCTGGGCTGTCGAAGATGAGTGGTGCTTCCCTTTTTCCACGAATTCACTGGTTTTGACACAACATTACAGTTCAGTGGAAAAGGCAAGAAAACTGCTTGGAAAACTTGGATATCCTATGAGGTTGTGACTTAGAGATGTCCCTTTCCTGCACAGCATCCATTTCAACCTGTGGACAAAGACTCAGATGTGTTTTCATCACTTGAGCGATTCACATGCATCATGTCTGACAACACTACATCAGTGAACATAGTCAACGAACTGCGACAAGAGATGTTCTGCCACGGCCGCAAGATCAAATTGAGGCAGAACCTTCTTCCCACTCAGGATACTCTGCGCAGCACACAAACTTGTTTACTTCCGAGACAGAAAGCACCAGAGCCAGATTTGTTTGGTTTGACAAGGGACGACAACGCATGGTAACCGGTGTAGATGACACTGTCAGAAGCTTCACGAAGTTGTCGAGAACTTATCAAATGTGGCTGCCAGTCTCAACCTCAATGCTCAAAGAAGTGCATTTGTAAATCTTCCCAACATCTATGTACAACGGTCTGTAACTGCAATGGGAACAGTTAAAGGAGACTTCAGAATCACAGAGATCGATGTTTGACAAAATGATATCACTGGACTGATCAAACTTTTCATTAATTGGATGATGAATTATATCTTTTACTACTAAAAATAAATCTTGTTTGTTATATTTCTTGAAAGTATTAGAAATATATCTCACATATTGCAACAAATGAAGATTTTGTTATAGTCGCCGACCATTCTGGATGGACTTCAGCACGCTTTCATTTTCGGCGGCCATTTTGGATTTTTGGGAAAATAGGCCCCAAAATCGGGCACACCCCAAAATTATGTTTTATCATGATATTCCCCAGCACTTTGCAAAGTTTCATGCTTTAGTCCGGCATGTAACGATCAACTTCCAAATCGGAACTAAGCCACTGCACTACTGAGGGTTCCCGCTTGACTTGTGATGCCATCCAATAACTCGCGAGTCATATCAGGTAGTACAGAAATTAGACTGGGATTTCATGATCTGTCTCTCTTTGAAGGACAAAAAAATCAAAAAGAAGTCACACCACTGAACAATTGACATCTGCATGCCAGAGAAACATTTCATGGCATCAAGCGAACTTCACTGTTTCTCCTCCTTGAATACCACTAACAGAGTTCAGCATCGGGTACCAAAATAGGGTTGTCACCTTCATACTCGATTTTCATATCATTTCAACTATTTTCAGCTGTCATAGATAAATATGATATGTGAATATGAATTTCTTATTTTTAATGTGAATGTTTGGGGATGGTGTGTTCTCGATTATCCAGACTTTGTTAATCTGGAAACCCCAGGTTCTGACAGGTAGCTGTTAGGAACGCATGTATGTTTAGAAATGATAATATAGTCGTATTCGTGCTTCATTAATCAAGACATCACTAAGTCTGAACGATTTACAGTATCTGTTCCTTTTGGATTAATGGGGTTAACTGTTTGTTTCTAATCAGAATATGTATGCACGATGCTTAAACACTCAGCGTTCGCTCGTCACGCCGAAGACCCGGGTTCGATTCCCCACCTGGGTACAATGTGTGAAGCCCATTTCTGGTGTCCCCCCGCCGTGATATAGCTGGAGTAGGGTTAAAAGCGGCGTAAAACTGAACT